CCGGAAGTGAGGGAATACACCCCCTTTACGGTGATGACGGTACAAAAGGCGCCACACAGGCGAATTAGAAAAAGTTGCCGGGGAAAAGGCGAAGGAAAGAATTTGTAGATGGGTAAATTAAATTAAAAGAGCATAGGGATTGGGTTACTGTAACGAACAAGAGTAAACGGAAATACCATAAAACCCATACAATGCATTTGTTCTTACCTATACTTGAAAAAATGATACTGATTTCGCTCTTTAAATGACTTTTTTTAATGTATTGGCGAAATGCATGCTTGATTGTTTGAAAAATGTTTTGAAAAATGATACTTCTTTGTTCTTTGTTTCATGGAGATTTTTTAATTTTCTATTAAATAAAGCATTCACTAATTGCTGCATTACTATGCAATATAGAGGCTGGGGAGAGGAAGGCGGAAAGAAGGTGGGGGTAAAATTACGGGGGAAAGATACGGATGCAGCTGGGAAAAATGAAAGGCTACGGGTGCGGCGGGGAGGGAATGAGGGACAGCCGAGAGAAAGGGTGGGGGAGGGGATGCAGCTAACAGAGCGGACCAAAACTGATCCTAGCGACAGCTGAGGGGCCTAGCGGAAGCGCTAGAACTTGAGAAGGTGGGCTGTCTATACAAGTAACGAGCAGCGTCTTATACAGGTAACGAGCAACATCTCACAAAGATAACTAGCCCATCTAGAATGTGTAAATGCGACCCGCTACCAGGTACAGGTGAAGGCATGCTACCTGTAATCTGATGTTTTCATGGAGGTTAGAGTAACGGCCGAGCTAAGCGAGTTTTAGGAGAATTACTAAAACTCGCTAACGCTATTTTGCGCCGAAGCTCGTCGATTCCGCTTGCTATTTTGCCAGGAGTGCTGGATACTGCTGCTCAGTGCACTGCAACTGGAATGCGTCGTTGGCCTCCGAGCTCCTTTTCACCCATCACGCGCTCCCCTCTTCCTCACGCCTTGGCAACTGCCAAGGGATCTAGCCACGTATCCATTCAACCGACGCACCCAAGCTCCTCTCCTTGCCATGACTCCCGTTCACGAAATCCGCACATGCCACCC